TGTATCCCCAGTACCTAGCATAATACTTGACATACAACAGGTGCTTAATTAGTAATTGTTGATTGACTAACTGGGCTTCAGTTCCAAGAACACTCTGAATCTGAATACATCAACTGCAACCTAGCCAAAAAATCTGACATGAATATAAATATGTTTATTCAATTCAAAAATAATAAACACTTATTAAATACCTACTGCTTGCAAGGTGCTGTGTTAGGTACTGGAAATTCATTCAATAATATATATTGATGCATATTAGGGGAAGATATAAGGTTAGGAAGAGATATCTCTTGCTTTCATATCAATGAAGAGCAAGTGAAAAAATAACTATGATACAAAGGAGAATGAGAAGGGTCTAGACAAAATGCTTTGAGAAATATCACTTTGTGGGTGGATTAGGGAGAAGGGCATTTGGTGGAGTTAATGTTAAGAAAGGTTTGATGGAAGAGGTGAAGGTTGAAAGGTACTTCACTAGATGGAAGGAGAAGCAGGGTAGAGAAGGGAGACTATTTCAAGGATGAGGAACTGTGTGAGTAAAGTCACAAATACAGGAGAGGAAAAGATGAGAAAAACCATCAGAGTAATCCAATTTGGCTAGCATACCAAATACACAAAGAGGAGTATTTAAAAGGGAAAGGCTGGATTAGGAATAAGATGTGGCCTCAATGTAAGGGGTCTCTAGTATGGTCCTTTTTCTGATGTATAACAGTGTGGCAGCTATATCCTTACTGACATCCTCAAGAACACATAGTTCAGGCCCCAGGTTACTGATACCAGATTTATCAATCATTATATGAATTATATCAATCATATAATCAATTATATCAATCCAGAAATTAATTAATTCATTTGGGGTATTTTTTTTAAACCACTCAGGAAACTTACTAGTCCAACCATAAGGATCATAATATACTTTTTTTCAAATGCCTTGTTATAATAAAGAAACACTACAGAATTCCCTTAATCCAAAAGTCTAAAAATCTTATCTAAGAAGAAAAACAGTTTGATATTAGGTACTCTTCACTTGGCTCATAACTTCTTTTTTCTAAGTACTCAAAAACCATCTGTTTAATAATCTATCCTAGAATTTTTCTGAAAAGCAATGGTCTATAGTTTCCAGAACTGGACTTCTCTCCCTTTAAAAAAAAAACTAAGGCATAGTTGATCATCTCTCATCCTCTAGCACCTTTTCCATTCTCCATGATTTTTCAAAGATAATTTAGTGATTTCATACATCTTCCTAATCTTGTATCTTCCCCTAAAATGCATCAATACATATTACTGAATGAATTTCTAGCACCTAACATAGTTGTTACAACAACATCTTTCAAATACCTTGGACTATAATTTATTTGAGTCTAGCTGGAGAACTGAGCTCATTTAAAGCAGTTAAGTGCTAACAATCTCCTCATTTATCCTGGGCTTCAATTTCCTCTTGCAAAGTCCTTTAAGAGGAAATTTTTAAAATTCCTCTTATTTTTCATTTATTTTGTTTTTACTTAACATGTTTCCAAATATATCCCTGCACCTTCATCTACCCAGAAAGGTATTTATTGTAACAAACAGCAAAAAAGAGAAAAAAAGTTCATCAGAACCAACTAATTGAATGGATTTTAACAGTATGTACAATATTCCACCTCCACAATCCCCCTCCTCTGTAGTCAAGGGATTTTGTTTTTACAAATATTCTCAATTTCATGTAATCGAAATTACAATTTCTTAGATCTTCTACAGGGCAAAGTTTGGTCATTATAATTAGTGTTTATATAATTAATGTTTAATTTCATTTTTTTGTTTTTCCATTACATTACCATAGGCACTATAAATACTGTTCACCTGGTTCTATTTACTTCACACTCATCAGTTCACATAACTCTTCCCATAGTTCTTTTGAATTATTCATATTTGGTTTTTATGAAACAATGATATTTCCTCACCTTCACTTAACTCAACATTTATCTCTTTCCCAACTGATGGGCTTCTGCTTTGCTTTTAGTTTTTGTCAGCACAAAAAGTGTTGCTATGAATATTTTGGTATCTATTGTTCAGTCATTTCAGTTGTGTCCAACTCTTCGTGACCCCATTTGGGGTTTCCTTAGCAAAGACACTGGGGTGCTTTGCCATTTCCTTCTCCAGCTCATTTTATACATGAAGAAATGAGGCAAACAGGGTTAAGTGACTTGCCCAGGGTCACAAAGCTAGTGTCTGAGGCCAGATTTGAACTCACAACGATGAGTCTTCCTGATTCCAGGCCTGGCACTCTATACACTATGCCACCTAGCTATCCTCTCATTTTGTTAAATGTAACCTTTTTTTCTGTCTTTAACCTCTTTGGATTATGTGCTTAGTAATAGGATCTCTGGGTCAAGGCTATGAACAATTTAATCACTTTTCTAGCATAATTCCAAATTATTTTCCAGAAGAGTTGGACCAAGTCGTAGCTCCAACAACAGTACATTAATGTGTCTATCTTCTCACAACCCAGGCAATATTGAATATTCCCATCTGTTATCAACTTCACAAACAACTGAGTGTGAAGTAAAACCTCTAAGTCACATAAACATTTATTGAGTGGCTATTTTCAGATGATTCCTAATAGTGTGCCCTTTTTTTGGCGGGGAGAACTCCTTGTATATATACCTTGTGACCACTTACTCTGGAAAATGGCTCTAGGTCTTATTTATTTGTGCTAATTCTCCATATATCTTGGATACCAAACCCTTATCAGAGTTTGCACCTTTGATGCAATGATCTTTTTCTCATTTGGTGATTTTGTTTTTATAAATACTTTCTATTTCATGTAATCAAAGCTATTTGTTACCTCATTTATTCCTTATTTAGTAAAGAATTAAGAATTCTTTGGCTAAGAGCCAAAGTTGTGAAATGTACCTCATCCCATTTTTTTTCTAATTATTTTAATAGTGTAATGAAAAGCATTAGTGACATAGTAGACAATGTGTCTCGAAGCCAGGAAGACCTGGGTTCAATTTCTACCTCTGATATAGACTAGGTATATATGACCATGGCAAGTTGTTTAACCTCTTAGTTCCCTAGGCAACTCTCTAAGACTAAAAGTTGCAAAGAAGGTGAAAACCTTCGATGGTAGATGGAATTTCCTTATTTGGGAGCTTTATAAACCAATAAAATTTACACGTTCAGTCTCTGTTCTTCTATACTGAGGCCACATATTCATTTTAGGGTTACTGTCCTCTCCTATATAGGATCATAGATGCACGATAGGATAGCACGTCAAAGGCCACCTAATCAAACCCCCCCTCATTTTATATTTGAGGAATATGAGACCCAGGGAGGTTAGTGCAAGCCAGAGATAGGACTTGATCTACTCTGAGTGATCACTCTAGTCCACAGCTAGGAACTGTACCACAATGACTTAAATCTAATTTCTGCCAAACTGATTTACAATTTTCAAAACAACTCTAATGCTTAATACCTTCCTTCTAAGATTATCATCAATTTATACTGATTATATCTTGTTTGCACTTCACTGTTTGCACATTGTTTCTCTCATTATATTGTGAGCTCTTTGAGAGGACAGAATAATTTTGACCCTTCTTCTTATCTTCAGCACTTAGCATAGTGCGTGGCATATAGCAAGCACTTAATTAAATGTTTACTGACTTGACTTGAATAGTGAGTTCTTCTCCAAGCAGTTTATGTGCTCAAGCTTATGGTAAACTGAATTACTGAGTTCAACTGTTTCTGATTCTTGCTTATCAAGTCTGTTCTACTTGACCTGGTTTTCTATTTTTTAACCAGTACCAAATAATTTTGGTGATTAATGATTGTAAAATTATCTGAGATCTGGAAAAGCTATTGCCGCTTCCTTCTTACTTTTTTTCATCATTTTTCTTTTTTGCCAAGATGAATTTTATTTTTATTTTGTCTAGCTCTATATAGTATCCCCTTGGAAGTCTGGTATGGTACTAAGTTTGTAAAGTAATTTCATAATCTTTATTATCTTGGTAAGGTCCAATCCCATGCAATGATTATCTCTCCAATTATTTAAGTCACTTAAAATTGTTTTTAAAGAGTATTTTGCAATGTTACTTAAATGTCTTGAGTTTGTCTTGGTATACTAACCCTCTAACATTTTATGCATTTTGTAGTTATTTTGAAAGATACTTGCTTTTCTATTTTTCCTCCTAGATTGTGTTATAGCTATCTAGAAATACTGACAATTTTTGTGGATTTATTTTGTATACTGATAGTTTACTGTAATAATCAGTTGTCTCAGTTGATCTCTTTCACTAACTTTCTGACTGCAAAGTGGGATCATTTTGTCTCCTCTTTGCCAATATTTGTCAGTATTTCCTTCCCTTGTCCCACTTCTGCTGCTAGCATTTCTAGAAGTGTGTCAATAACAGAGGATGACATTTATGTCTCATTTATTCCTTTATTTATTGGGAAGTTTCAATAATGCTAGCTTTTGGCTATATACACACATATATAAAACAATAATATATATTTTATATTATTATATTATATATATGCTATTATATTATATGCATATGCTTTTTTATTATATTTCAATTCCCTCTTAATCTTTTCCCAAATATAATACAGTGAGATCTTTTTATTGTCTTTGGTATTTTTTGTAAAATGCAACTCATTCTGATATATTAGCCATCTTGACATTATTCTTTCAGGTCTATGTATCTGATGCAGCTCATTCTGACATTTCAGCCATCCTGACATTACTCTTCTAGGTTTATGCATCTTTCTGTAGTTGTAACTCTGCTTCTATCTACTTTATATGTCCTTTTAAAATGTCTGTTTAAAAAATTCCTTATTCAGTTACATTGGTTTATTTAGTTGACTCTCCTTTTTTTGGCTCAATGGAAAAATATTTCAGTAATAAATTCAGTAATTTTAAAAGACCAACATCTTAGAAAATACTAAAGCCAGTGACAATCCAGTGTGTCACAAATCATTTCGTTGGTAAGAATTTTACAAATGGAAAAATTTTAAATTCACTTTACCTGAGGTAATGTCAATGCTGTGCCTATCTTCTTCAAGCCTTCTAATTTTCTCTTCTAGTTCACTCTGTACAGTATCATATAACAAGAGCTTTTCACTCTGAAACAAACAAAAAAAACCCAAACAGGTTGCATATAGGTAGCAAAATAAATAAATGGCAGGTTAGATGGATGGATGGATGAATGAATAAATGATGAATAGGCCTGAATTTGTACTGACCACTCTAACATGAAGACACAGAAGACTACATTAGTGCAGAATGTTATCAAATGCCACGTAATGCTACAGAAAGCAAGACCAAAAAGGATATTCACCTGATCCCAGGAAGTTCCTTGAAATAACTTAAAATTATTGCATTTTTTTAAAAGTATAAATACCAAAAAAAAAAAAAGCCCACCATCTGACAAATTTTATTAGAATGCTATCAGCGAAGACCAAGAGGTCAAATGTTAAAACTGAAGATTCTGATGACTAGTGTACAACACATGAAAATCTGAATTTACTCAAATAGGGGATTGATGACTTTACAGAAGAATTCCCTTAAAGAGTCCTTTGGGTTCATTTTAAAACACAGTAGTTCCCAGATTCCTAGAAACCACATCACAGCTTGTGGTCAAATCAGGTAATATTTCTATCTGAGAACAAGGTCATAGTCAAAGAATCATAGATTTTAGGTCTGGACAAGACCTTAGTATAATATAATGGAAAAGCACTGGCCTTGTAATTAGAAGAAATGGATTCAAATTAACACATCTAACATTTACTAGTTATATAAACTCAGACATGTTACTTCACTTAGACCTCAGTTTCCTCATCAATAAAATGATGATTAGAATATTACAATAAATTATCTCTAGGATGTCTTCTAGGTCTAACATCCTATAATTTTCTCCCACTAGCTAGATCACTCATCCCACATATATAGAAACTGAGGACTAGCAGAGTAAAATGAATTACCCAGGACCATGTCACTAGTTTGCAAGAGAGCTGGGACTAGATTGAGGTCTTTCTAATTCCCAGTACAAGGCTCTACTTATTAGAACACATTGACTCACTAAGAAAAATCCTACAGTTTTAATATACTGCATATGGCCCCAATAAAGTATATGTATAGCATATATTAATCTATCAATAAACAAACATTTATCAAGCACCTATTATGTTCTAAGAACTACACAAGGTTTTTCTCCCTATATTCCCTCAAATGGTGACCTCATCAGCTTCCATGGGTTTAATTATCCTCTTTGCTGGGGGTTACTCTTTTTTATGTCATAGACTCCTTTTGGTAGTCTCATGAAGCTTATGGACCCCTTCTCAGAATAATATTTTTAAACTCACAAAATAAAGTACACAGGATTACAAAGCAAACCAAATATGTTGAAATACCGTTGCTGAAAATAAAATTCACACACCCCAGATTAAGAACCCTTGTTCTATGTAAAGAACTTCCAGGTCTGTATTTCTAGCCCTATGCCATTAGCTTAATTCCATTCTCACTTCACCAATTACCTGTTAAATATTTCTAACCAGAAGCTCTATAGGCACCTCAAATTCAATATGTATAAAGCAGAACTCATTACCTTTCCCCTCCAAAATGCTCTTCTCTTCTGAACTTCCTTATTTCATTTGGGGCACTTGTATTCTTCCAGTTACCATCCTGCCAAATCCTGTAGTTTTTATTTTGATAACATCTCTCCTACACATCCCCTTCTTCCCACTCATACAGCCATCACCCTAATTTAGGCCTCATGCCATATCACCTGGACTAGTGCAACAGCTTCCTAACTGATCTCTTCCTTACTCCAATCCACCCTCCACATAACTGCCAAAGTGCAAGTCTGACCATGTCACTCCTATAATTAATAAACTTCGATGGCCCTCTATCACCTATAAGACAAAATATATAAAGTCGACAGTTAGGCATTTAAGTCACTCACAACCTCACCCTATTTTTTCAATTCTGAACACAATACTTCCCAGCTATCTTATCTCCCTAATAAAACAGGTTTTCGTGGTCTGTTCTTTGTTATGGAGAGTGAATGTATACAATCAGAAATGCATGTTTGCATTTGTCATGTTTATCTGAGCAGAATTCCTACTCTCCCTCCTCCCCCCCTTGTCTAATCAATAAAAGGAAAGAGGGTGATTTCTCCTCCTCAGGGGAAAAAAAAAACCAGGGAGAAAATGAGTGGTAGTTTTTCAACACAAAGTTTCTAAGCTTCCAATTCTAATCAACTTGGAGTGGAGAAAGAGTAGATAAAATATAAAAGGGAGGGAGAAGTGGCTTAATTTGTGACTCAGGATGAGTCAGGAATAATCTTTTGGAATATGAATTTCCAAACTGTAATAGGGATAATTAAAGTGAAAACATTATAGAATTTATGAACACAAGAACCCCAAAGCTCTCTTCTCTACCTCAGAGACTAAGGAATGTTTAATTGAGGGATGGGGAAGGGCTGATATGGGCACTTATAATTTATAAGGGTGTTTGTCTCTGAGTGCAGAGAACCCCCTCCTAATAAAATAATGTCATTAGAACCAGAAAACTACCAGTTGCTCAGGGAAAATAATCAAATGCTCACAGATACTATAATCTGTTGTTGCTGTTGAGTCATTTCAGTCACGTCTGACTCTCTGTGACCCCATCTGAGGATTTCTTAGCAAATACAATGATTTGCCATTTTCTTCTCCACTCTTTAAGTGGTACATTTCTTTTAAAAGCTGTTTCCTTATGGTTACTATATTGGTTGGTTTGCTTAACTGCTTCTCTTTGGTATAAAGGATGGCTCAATCTGGAGGGACAGCAGGAGGATATGTTATACTCAGAAATGATTGATGTTACAAGTCATTTCCCAATTGATAAATGGTCAAAGGATATAAAAAGGCAGTTTTCAGAGGAAGAAATTAAAGCCATCTATAGTCCTATGAAAAAATACTCTAAATCACTATTGATTAGAGAAACGCAAATTAAAGCAACTCTGAGGTATCACCTAGCACATTGGCTAACATGATAAAACAGGAAAATGATAAATGCTGGAGAAGATATGGGAAAATTGGAACACTAACACATTGTTGGTGGAGTTGTGAAGTTATCCAACCATTCTGGAGAGCAATTTGGAAACATGTTCGAAGGGCTATAAAAATGTGCATACCCTTTGACCCAGCAATACTACTTCTATGTCTGTATACCAAAGAGATTATGCAAATGGGAAAAGGACCCACATGTACAAAAATATTTATAGCAGCTCTTTTTGTGGTGGCAAAGAATTGGAAATTGAAGGGATGCCCATCAGTTGTGGTATATGAATGTAATGGAATACTATTGTGCTACAAGAAATGATGAGCAGGTAGACTTCAGAAAAACCTGTAAAGACTTATATGAACTCATGCTGAGTGAAGTGAGCAGAACCAGGAGAACATTATACAAAGTAACAGCCACAACATGAGATGACTAACTTTGATAGACTCATTTCTTCTTAGCAATGCAAGAATCCAAGACAATTCCAAAGGACTCATGATGGAAAATGCTGTCCACATCCAGAAAAAGAGCTATGGAGTCTGAATGCAGATCAAAGCATATTATTTGCTTTCTCTCATTTGTTATTTGTTTGTTTCTTCTTTCTCATGGTTTCTCCCGTTAGTTATTGTAATTCTTCTTTACAACAAGACTAATGTGAAAATAGGTTCAATATGAATGTATATGTAGATCCTATATCAAACTGCATTCCATCTTGCGGTGGGGGAAGAGGAGAGATGGGAGAAAATTTGGAACTCAAAATCTTATGGAAGTGAATGCTGAAAACTAAAAATAAATTAATTTAAAAAAAGGGGAAATGATTGATGTAAAAACAAAACGGTACTAATTAAACTTTTAAAAATATTTCTTAAATTATATACATCGGCATCACTTCATTACACACTTGCCAAATACGTATAATCAGGGTTCCACAACTACCTACTTAATTCTATGGCAAGTGATTCCTCAAAGTTCACCAATGATCTGCTAATTGGTCATTTTTTCAGTCCTTATAATCTTTGAGGGGTGTAGGTTGTGCTCAGGGAAGACTAGCACCTCTGATGTGAGGGCTGCTTTCCACCTTTGGTGTCTACCTGATCCACTCAACTCTCACCTATGGCTCCAAGAAGCTGTAGCATGCCCAGTAAACCATTTTAGCAGAAAGGCTAAACCAGGCTGAGGGTAAGCAAAGGGTCTCAAACCCATCAATGAGTTCTGTCTACCCAAATCATGTGAAAACTTCCCATGGTGGAATGGGTGGATGAGAACAATTTGTTCCAATGGCCATGAAGGTGGCTGCAGCAGGCACTGTGGAGCACTTAAGAGTTTGGTTAGACATCAAAGACATCCACTGCGTCCTGAGCTATTCACCAGTCATCTTGATTCCGTCCTGCCACTGGACTGTGATGATTCTAGAAGAGAGAGTGAGGCTGACAACTTCCTGCTACTCTGTCTCACTTAAATTCAATTTATGCATGAGTCAAAAGACATCACCTACACCAATTTATCATTTTTACCTAACTCAAAGTTCTGTGGCAACAGACAAGTGACAAAACAGCAGGTGTGGATACACTGGGAACTGTAGTCACAACGTTGCACATAGGCAGCCCAGGCCATAGGGTTGCCATCTCACTGGAAGCAGCAGAAGGCAGCCCCGTGGGTGTCTGAGAAGCCTTTTAAGGACTGCACTACTCACCTCCTGGTGTGAAGAAGGGTCTGGAAAAGGGGACCTAAAAATTGTCTACATTACCCAACTCTGGGCAGGTAGGGATCCCACCCTGTGGTAGAAACACAAAAAGATGTACAAAAACTTCTGCAAAGTACTCATCATTGGTACACGGAATGTGTGCACACTTATGGACAATAGAAATCCAGTGGATCTGAAAGATGAACAGCTCTTGTTGCAAGAGGATTCATCAGATATAGCTGAAAATAGAGCCCTGAGTGAAACAAAGCTGGCAAATAAAGACCAGCTTACTGAAGTAGGAGGTGGATATGTGTTTTTCGGGAGTGGCTGCAGTAAAGGGGAGCACCATGACAATGGTGTAGGTTTTGCAATCAAAACTATTCTAGTCAACAAGCT